AAAGTCTTTAAAAAATGTTTGAAGTGGTAAGAACTTAAAATTTTAAATTAGAAATATTTAATCTTAGATATTATTTAGATTAAATGTTTCATTAAAATTGATGGTTGATGATAAATATTTGGTAATTGACAATTATTATAGTTTATAATTTAAAATATTTAATTTATTTGATTAAAACTGATAATTATTTATATAAAGTTAAAACAAATACCCCATTAAACAGGTAAAAAGCAATTAGAGAAGAAAATGACTATTCACTATTAAATGTGAAAAAAAAAAAAAAAAACTACTTAGTTATATTGTCGGCAAACCTTAATGAATTGTTCTCTAAAATCAAAACACCATCACCTTCCATTCCATACGACATGAGTCTCCAAAGAAGACCGACCTCACCCTTGCATTGAACTTTCCCAAATTTCCGATGATCTGCCACGTTTATGGACATGATATTAGGCACAAAATAAATGAAAGATACACAACCCTTTTTCCCTCCCAAAAACACTTTCCTTCCCTTCACCCCTTTCTCTCAGTCAAATCCCATAAAAATCTTCGACTTCTTCGAAAACCAAATTCTTCTTCAAAAATCCCCTCTATGATATTAGAAGTTGATTAATATTCTTCCCCAAGAAACATTATGCTTTTCCTCAATGGTCAAAATGAAAAGTTATCACAGATTTCTATCCCTTTTCTTAGTTTTCTATTCTTGTTTTCTTTTGTTAAGATATGAACACACTTATTGTAAATATTTTATACCTTAAAATATTCTCTTTATATACTTTATACTTTAAAATATTCTTTTTGTAAACACTTATATATAGCTCATTGTACATACAATATTATTTAAGAAAGCAATAAATCTTTCTTCAAATTATTCTTTTTCTTTTCAGTTTCTAACATGTGATCAAAGCTATAAGCTCTTGGTTCTTTTCTCTTATCATTGTTGTTTGATTTTTGGAGTTGGATTTTCAATTCTATTCTAGATCTGAAACTTTGTCATTGGGATCTCTTCTTCTATGGATTAGATTGTTTATCATCGATTTGTTGGCCCTTTCTGAAGCATTTTGTCAACTTGTTATTTCGATCTTGACATCTATTTCTTCATATTTTTTAGAGTTTTTCAGTATTGTGAGTTTTACTGATTCTATGGCAAGTTTTGAAAGGACTATAACTCATCCTACTACTGTTATGGTTGCCAAAGAAGTGATAAATCAACCTAATGTCAACCTTGAATCTTTAAAACAGGTGATATTAAATCTTTTTAATGCTCCTACTGCCTTATCTACTACTCCATGTACCAAACCTTGGTATTTTGATTCTGGTTATTGTAACCATATGTCTTCAATTACTGCTCATTTCTTTTAAATGTCATCAAATAATTCCTTTTCTGATATTTATTCTGTTGATGGTTCCTCTATGAATGTTAGTCACATTGGCAATATTTCTATGAAGTCATTAACTTTACCAAATGCCCTCTTAGTTCCAAAACTTAGGTATAATCTTCTATCTATCAGTCAGTTATGTGATTTTGGTCTTGAAGTAACATTTTCTACTCATGGTTGTCGTGTGTAAGACCCATGGACAGGACAACTTCTTGGAACTAGTCACAAGGTGGGGCGTTTGTTTGAGCTCAACTATCTGCATATTCTGATAATAAAATGAATACACCATCATTTCCAAATGATTGATTCATCCAAACCTTGCTTTGTATTGTTGAATTAGAGTCTTTACAAATTCCATACCAACAAATTTTGCAAGCCTGTGTTGCTACTAACGTTTCTGCTCTCCATTTGTGGCACTCGCAGCTCAGTAAACTTCGTCCACTTATCTCTCATGGTTTATTAGGATCAATTTCAAATGAATCTTTGCATTGTGTGTCATGTCAATTTGCAAAGCAACCAGCTTTATCTTTTTCGAGTAGTCATTCTCATTCTACTACTCCTTTTGATCTCGTGCATTCTGATGTTTGGAGTCCATCTCTTACACCCACCATAGGGGGTTCCAGCTAGTTCTTGTTATTTATTGATGATCATAATCATTTTACTTGGATATATTTTATAAAAAATCGCTCTAAGTTACCACAAATTTATATTGATTTTGCTACCATGGTCAAAACTCAATTCTCTAAAATTATCAAAGTTTTGAGAACTGACAATGCCACTAAATATCTTAGTACTAAACTTCAATCTTTTCTCAAAGAATAGGGCACACTAATATAACAATCTTGTCTTTACACTTTTAAACAAAATGGGCGAGCCAAACGCAAACACAAATATATCCTTGATTCTGTTCGTGCTCTGCTCATTTCAGCTTCTTGTCTAGAGTGATTTTGGGGTGAAGCTACTCTTACAACTATTTATCTCATTAATCAGATTCCATCTTCAGTGATCAACAATAAGTCTCGATATGAATGTTTACATGGTATTCCTCCTACTTATGATCTTTTTAAGGTCTTTGGTTGTGCTTGTTTTGTTCTTCTTCCACCTCATGAACATAACAAGCTAGAGCTTAAAGCTTGATCGTATTGTTTTTTGGGTTATGGGATTACACATAAAGGATATCGTTGTTGGGATCTTGTGTCACAACAACTTTGAGTCTCACATCATGTTGTCTCTTGGGAACACACTATATTTTCCTCGTTATCAAACTTCCAAGTGTCATCTTTTAATCAATCTTCATTTTTTACTAATGCTTCTGTTAAGCTATTCCCTAGTGATTCTAATGCAGGTACATCTGATGAGCTCTACAATGCCTCACCATATGCTCCAACTGGTTCTATAGAAGATGATCTGCCTACTAATAATGCATTAGATAATTTTGAGCCTTCCTCTACTTCCTCATCTATATCACCTATTGATATTGCATCTGATATTGTTGTGTTTCCAAATGAGCTTGTTGTCCCATTCTCGAGTCGTCCTACTCAGGTAAGAAACCTTTCTAGCTACCTTCGCAATTATCATTGTTTTCCTACTATTACTTCTTTACATGAGCTTAAATCATATCGAGAGGCCTTTGCTAACTCTTTCTGGCAACAAGCTATGCAAGATGAATTATAGGCTCTTGAGAACACTCGTACATGGGATTTAGTTGATCTCCATGCTAAAAAGTCTCTAATAGGCTGTAAATGGGTGTACAAGATCAAAACATGATCTAATGGTTCTGTGGAGCGTTATAAGGCACACTTGGTTTCCAAGGGTTTTACATAGGAGTATGGAATAGACTACGAGGAAACATTTGCTCAAGTTGCTCATCTCACATCTATGCGCAGTTTGCTTGCTATTGTTGTTATACAGAAGTGGAAATTCTTTCAAATGGATGTGAAAAATGCTTTTCTTAATGGTGATCTAGAAGAAGAAGTTTAAATGAAACCACCTCCTGGGCTCAACCATCCTCCAAAAAAGGTATGCCAATTACAATGTGCATTATACGAGTTGAAACAATCCCCTCGAGCTTGTTATGCAAAGTTTAGTGCTACTGTGAGTGAGTTTGGTTTTACTTCGAGTCCACATGATACAGCTCTATTCATTCATAAAACTACTTGGGGTATGGTTCTTTTACTTGTTTATGTTGATGACATGATTATTACTGGAGATGATATCACATGTGTTGAGGAGTTAAAACAATCTCTCAATCAGAAATTTGAGATGAAAGATCTTGGTGTTCTAAGCTATTTTCTGGGGCTTGAAGTCACATATTTAGATGATGGCTACCTACTTTCTCAAGTAAAGTATGCCTCTGATCTTGTTTCTACAATTGAACTCAGTGATAGCAAAAGTGTTTCTACACCTCTTGAGCCTAATGTCAAGCTTACACCTATGGATGGCTCTCCACTTTTTGATTCTACTCACTATCGGCAATTGGTTGGTAATCTAGTTTATCTTACCACGACACGCCCCGACATAACATATGCAATTCACATTGTTAGTCAGTTTATAGCTACTCCTTGCTCCACTCATTATGTAACAGTACTTCGCATTATTCGTTATGTTAAAGGAACATTGTTTCATGGACTTCACTTTTCTGCTCACTCATCTCTTAAACTTCGTGCTTACTCAGACGCTTATTGGGCTGGAGACTCTAATGATCGTATATCCACCATTGGATATTGTCTCTTTCTTAGTGATTCCTTAATCTCTTGGCGTAGCAAGAAGCATGCAGTTTTATCACATTCTAGCACAGAGGCTAAATATCAAGCACTTGGAGACACCACATCAGAGTTACTTAACTTATGTTGGCTACTGGAAGGTATGAGTGTTCATCAACCACCTGCTACTATATTGTGACAATCCAAGTGCCATACAGATTGTTCATAATAATGTTTTCCATGAACGCACTAAACAAATTGAGGTTGATTGTCACTTTGTTTGCCATCGTGTTGCACAAGGAATTGTTCATTTGGTTTTTCATTGGCTCCATTGATCAACAAGTAGACCTTTTCATCAAGGCTCATTTTTTGGACGCTTTCATGCTCTTCTTTCCAAACTCAAGTTGGTTTCATCACAATCACCTTGAGTTTGAGACAAGATGTTAAGATATGAACACATTTATTGTAAATATTTTATATCATAGAATATTTTCTTTGTAAACACCTATATATAGGTCATTGTACATATAGTATTATTTAATAAAGCAATAAGCCTTTCTTCAAATTATTCTTCTTCTTTTCAATTTCTAACACCTCTCTTTCTCTCATGCATTTGATTTCTACGTGGGTGGAAAACAAGGCTGTGTTTTGCACCCTTCAGAGGACTATAATCAATGGGCTGGAAGAAACAGGTTCCTCATCTACGACAATACAAGGAACAATTAATCCAAAGATTCTATCTTCTTCTTTTCTTTTTTCTTTTTTCTTTTTTTTTTTTTATTCATTCTAGTTCTGTGTTTTTACTATTTTCTGTTCTTGGTTCGGATTTTGGTAGTTTTCAAGTATAAGAAAGGATCCGACTTGGTGTTGCTGGTGAACAAAGATGATTACGACACCTGCAAGACCAAGAATCCTATTCAGAGAATGGACAATGGGAATTCGGTGTTCAAATTGGATCGTTCCGGACCTTTCTACTTCATCAGTGGAAAAGAGGACCGGTAAGCAGTGGGAGAAACTGATCGTTGTTGTTCTGCACTTGAAGAGGGGAGAGTCAGCGCACGCGGTATCTCCCAAGTTACCGCCAGGTTCTGGAGCTAAACCCCCTGTTGTACCAAATCCAAAATCTGCAGCGCCAGGGGTGTCCCCTGTTTCACATTCCCCTGGGTCAAACCCACCTTCTAAGACATCTCCAGCTCCAGTGGGGTCCCCTGTTTCTCGTTCTCCGGGGGCCAAACCACCCTCTATATTCTCCCCAGGACCGTCAGGTTCACCGGCCGTATTTCCAGCGCCAGGGGTGTCCCCTATTTCTCATTCCCTGGGGCGACCCCACCTTCAACTTCATCTACAGTGCCCGTGGGGTCCCCTTCTTCTCATTAGTCGGTAGCTACATACTCCCCAGGACCGTCAGGTTCCGCAGGAACATTTCCAGCACCAGGCATCTCATTTTCCTGTGGCCAAACCACCTTCTACGTCATCTTTAGGGCTGGTGGGATCCCCTTCTAATTCTCCGGTAGCCAAAACCTCTGTCTACATCATCCTTAGCACCTTCAGGATCCCAAGGAACATCTCCGTCCTCTTTAGCACCAGCATTGTCACTAGGGTCCCTGTCTCAGCCTCCTCTGGCTCAAACCCCTGGAGCTTCAACCTGACCACCGGCATTGACTCCTGGTTCATCTCTGTCTCCAGCTGCAAACTCTCCTGAAGGGTCTACTTCCGCGCCACGGTGCCAGCATCTTCACCATCAGGAAGTTCTGTTCAGGGTCCATCTCCAGCAGGATCTTCCCTCCGCCTTCACAGGAAGGCTCTCCTGTACCAGCTACAGCACCAGGAGGATCTCAGTCGCCATCAAGGACTGTCGGTGGTACTCCGGCGAATGAGGTATCGCCCTCCGACACCGACCAAGTCATCAACAACCGCAACTCAATCAAGCAGGATAGCATTAGCAGTTGGTATTATCCTCAGTTTAATGTTGAGAATATAGCTTAATTTAGTTTATGGGTAATTTTTTTTTTTCAACACCATACCTGCCAAATATTGCATGAGAAGTCCTTAACAACAGAAATATTACCACTAGATCACAAGAATATTCTTAGTTTTTGGGTGATTTTAGAAACATTGAGTAATAAGTTTATTATGTTACATATTTTGATATTAATTTAGAGTAATAA